TCTTTGCAGATTTTGTGTGGAAATAGAAATTGGTGTGTGTGACACCAAAAAATAACATTACATGCATCAAATGCATTACAATGGGTCAGAAGAGCAATATATATATATTCTGTATATATCTTTTCAGACTGTCTTGCAAGATTACTAAAAATTTTGTTGGAGTAATTAAAAATTAAGTTGATTTTTATACAAAAGGAAAACAAGTTATCTATCTCACATTAAGAATTAAAACAATTAAGTGTTTTAATAACTGTCATGTCTGATTTTAAAATCCTTATCTCTGTAACACAGCATGTTTAATCAAATTTGTAATGCTTTCTTACTTCTTTTTTGCTGGAACAAATGACAACAATGCCAGTATTGTGATGTTAAATCTGTGGTAAATGTACAATTATTGGCCTGTTTTAGTGTTGTTCTCAAACAATATACTGTACAACTGTGAAAACATACAGAAAAGAACCAAAACAATAATACCAAACTCTGCTGACCTTTATGTTTTCTGTTCCAACTTTAAGTGCAGAGCAAGCTAGTTTGGCTAAGAATAAAAAAAAGACTCATTCATCAGATTTGAATTTCAGCCGTGCACTTATATTTGATACCCTGAAATGACCAGGTACAAAAAAAGGACAAGCACACACATGCAGACTGACTCACTGAGACCCCCTGCGTTTTATTACATTACATTGCATCAGGCCTCAGGAGTTAGGTTGCTGTAATCTGTGTAGAAAACATCAGCTGTTTCCAGTTATCCAAAGTTGTGACTCCAATTAATTCAACTTATTGGCTTCAGACTGAGGTTCACATAACAGCACCAGTGTCTACAAACATCTGACCAAATTAACATGAATGTCTGTCATGGGTTTGGAGATGTTTCTCTGCTATAAGATTTCCCAAGGTCTCACTTTGTTCAACTTAGGTGACACATCAGTCTGGTTTTAGACAAACCTGTCCTCAGCTTAGCAGTGAGGTAAATAAGGCAGGTATATTGCAGTACAGGGGTTTCTTACACTGGACATTTGATTTACTTAAATATGGCTTTTTTACACAGGATATTTAAGTGTATCCAGGTTCAAAGTGATATAAAACAGAGCTGCCAGACCTTTAAATACCCACTATAATGTCTTTAATAAAGATATTTCTTCTGTAAATGAAACAAATTCTTTGTCTGAAAATGTAATCTGCTCTGATTGAATAATCACTGACATAAAGACGAGTTGGGAACTACAGTTCAATGGTCTTTGGTCTAAGGCCTTTGCTTTATTGTCTTTGCTCTGAGGCAGTCTGGGAACCAAAACTTAATTGGAAGACACAGTAAAAGACAAAAATGGAGCAGACTACATGAGAAATACGTTGGCGTGGCTGTGGTGAGGTTGGCACACTCATGCTAGTATGACATGATATGATAATGATAACATTATGAACATATTTGCTGTCAAATGAAATGATGTTTGACATTCAGATGGGTGACAAATTAAAATTAAAACATGCAAAAATCAGAGGAAAAACATGACAATGATGAGTTTGAAAATGACGCAAATCATATGCTTTGACCTTCACAGTCAAACATACATATACATAACATAACAAACATAAAATGAGGCATTATCTTTCAGAAAAATGGTGTTCATCCCTCCTGTAGAGATCCAGACACTTGGACGACCTATGACAAGGAGCACTGATGCTGTTCTGAAGGCTCAAAATCTTACTAACAACACTAAAGGAATTGTTGACATTTTAGGAAATACGCAGTCTTTTCAAGAGTTGATACCACTCTCATATAAGACTGTTGCCATCTGCCAGCAGTTAGATTATCTGAGCTTAAAGACTGGAAACAGGGGGAAACAGCCAGTCTGGCTCTGTCTAAAGGCCACGAAATCCCCCTACCAGCTTACTAATTAACACCAGACTACTTCTTGGAGCCTTGAAAGTGTCACTGCGAGGTTACCAGGCAACTAGCAGTGACGGACACCTCAGGAAGTCATTGCACCCGGCCAATAATTTAGCTCCTATAATCCCCCGTAAAACTGCAACCAGTCATTTTTGTACAGATTAAACAAAATGTAACGTGTTAATTAGTGAGCTTTAGAGGAGCTATGGTAGACATAATTTGTTACCCATGTACAGAGCCAAGCTTGTTGTCCTAATGCTAAGCTAAGCTAACAGCTGCAGGCTGTAGACTTACATTTTACTGTACAGATATGAGAGCTATCTATCTTCCCGTCTAACTTTTGGCAAGAAAGCAAATAAGCGTATGGTCCTTTAAATTAGTTAATTAATTTAAATGTAAATTGCAACCCATCTCGATCTATGATTTACAAAATTCTCATTTTAATACAGTGCAAACAATACAGCAATAATATAATAAGTTGTATATTTCCATATTTAATATTTTACAATAAATATTATTCACATATAACACTGGAGTCAGTGGAGTTCCAAAGAACCACTTAACAATCATATGTGAGAAAGTCAACTCCACAACCACAACTCTGTGTTCCTAAAACCTTTTTTAGGAGAACACCTGATGAGTAAATAAATTGTAGATTAATGAATAGAGATATAAATATCCCTCAATCAGCCCAATTTTATTCAAATTATTCAATCTTTTTTCCAGCTGCCTTGTCTACTACAAGCTGAAAGTCCTGAAGTTTAGACAACATGTTAGACTGTTTTATGTTGCCCTGCCCTGCTCATGATATTCTGCCCACATGTCTCAGTTTAATCTCCAAATTACATTAAGTCTGTTTTGCTCCATAGTTACATTTGACCAGTCAGTTGATTTCCATTTTCAAGAAAATGTCTCAGTGTTAAAATCTTCAACAATTTCAACAGGCTTTCATACGGTTATGTTATAATTTTACTGCAATTACACTAATCAGCAAATATACCTTTTATACTGTAAATCCATTAGGATTACAGATGAAAAGCCCGAAACATCAATCAAAAAAATATAAAACAGAAAACAGAACATACCTGAACATTACCGAAAAGTGTCGCTTTCGTTTCCACAAGAATTCAGTCTATAGATTAATAAATCATGGAACTATGTTTTTGTCTCAAAATAACAGCTTTTTTTAAAGCAATATTAGGCAACCATTCCTGGATTAAATATATAGAAATTTCTGAATTTTCTAATAAAGCAGCCTTCATAAAGGGCTTATAAGATATAACTAGTGTCTTTATTAATATATAATCAATTACTTAATGTGTTCTTTATAAGCCGTCACAGGAACAGTTTTGTGGGTTTCAGGTTGTGAAAAATTCCACTGGCAGGTGTTTATTGTTTATATTTGGTCATAATATAGTAATACATTTTAATATATTAATAAATGCACATGAACTCTAATGAGCCACCAAGTCTGCAGCATAAACGTTAACATTGCATTGATTAAGGGTTTCACGCCTTCTGTTTGAGTGTTAATAAGTAATAAGTCATAATAGGTTGTTATTAAATGCAGCCCTTTTTTCAGAAATAAGTGGTCAGGGGAAGTCTAGGGAGTTTAGTGATTTATTATTACATATAACTTTTAATAAAGTCACTACTATCAACTCATTATGTCTTTAAAAGGATGCCTCATTAAAACTAAAATATTAAATAGAAAAAACGACCCATACTTAGTTCTCTCTTACTTCATTTTATTTTGTACTATTACAGTATTTGCTCACATCTAGGTGGTAATATGTAGTTTCAAAAACATCAGCAGAAAATCACATTCTTCTTCTGTTACGTTAAAAAAAAAAAAAAAA